GTTGCGCACTTATAATTGATCTATCGTAAAAAAAACCGCTGCTCACATGGGCTACATGGGGCAGGTAAAGTGGCCGGTCATCTAAACGGAACAAACGGAAGAGCAGTTTCACGCCACATTTGTGAATTGTTTGTCCATGGCTCGCCAAGGACAGGTTATGTTCCGAATGTAACCAAATGTAGATAGATTACCGCGACCAAATGGAGAATACAAGCGTGCTCTAATTGGTTGTGGGGACTGGCGATACTTAGTATCCCTGAATGTGAAAGACTAGACGAATCTGATGACAAGGGTTCACGCCAATGTTGTGTACCGTTTGCTCAGGTCAGTAACGAGCAACATGACTGTGCTTCAGTCTTAGCTGGGCAGCTCGATTGCAGCTGCAAGCTAAAAGGACTCGCCTCCATGCACTTGTTCAATCGGTAGAGCTGGATCCACATGTCAAACAGCTGCGCGAGGGCTGCGACTCTGAATTTCGCACAAACAATGTCAGCTTGCAAAGCCGCTTGCCTTGAAGAAGGTATGCAAGGTTGTCTCATCATCAAGTCCCCGCTCTTCTCTCTGCTCCTACGACTTTAATTACGACTGGTCTTCCAGGCTGGCGTCTACGCTTTCGGAGTTCAAGAAATCTGTCCGCAAACAGCTTCTCCAGTCTGGCCTCTTCCTTGCTTAAGCAGCAATAGGCAGCATGAACTTGAGCAGGACTTCCAGGCCTTAACCTGCAACTCGGCCAGCTCCTCGATGGGGCCATCACCACTGTCACCAGCATCCTGTCCATGCGGTCAGTCGTGGCACTGCAGTCCCTCGCTAAGTAACAACTTGAGGGTGAGAAATTTTGATTGGATCTCCACGCAACTTATCCCTCACCTCTTTCGCGCTTGCGATGGCAAAAGACCACCAACCACTCGGCTAAAGCTACAACTTGCAAGCTTTTGCAGATCTGCCTGCGCTGCTAGTTCGTCAGACTGAGACATGGCACGGATCAGGTGACTTGGTTCTCAGCACACTTCAACGCAAAGTTCAAAGAGTTAGCCATTGTTGGCCGGTCTTTGTTGATCAAGCCCTTGAAGTGCGACCCCTGATTATGTGTGGATGGTCATGTGTGCTCCTCGGAGAGGGTTGGTGGGCAAGACTTGTCCAGCATGCTAAGTGGCCTTGAACTGATGTAAATGAAGTTGAAAAACAGCCTACCGAAGTGGTCACAGGCAGAACTTGACCAGTTGTGAGCCAAAGGTTTCCGAAAAGAAAGCGTATTTCCACAAAAAACTGCTCAAACTGTGGTGGCTAAACGAATTTGATGCACCATGCGCCTGCAATGCTTTCAAACAGGCTTAACTGATGGGTCTGCTGCTGCCTGCTTTGCAGGCTTCTTGTGAAACAGCTATCTACCCTCAAACAGACGCCGCTTGAGCTGGGCATTCCTGCATTGATAGGAGTGGAAATGGACCAGGCAAGCCTGCCCGAGTTCTAGCTCCCTAGTATGGATGTATAGGACACTTGCACTGTACGTGTACACTGTACATCTTTCGGTGATGAGAGATTTTCCCCGGAAGAGGAACCAAATCCCTATTGAATAGCTGGCAGCCCAACAACTAACAAATTTGCTGTGGGTTGACAGCCGGTGTACTGAGAGAGCCTGGGGTCCACATCTTCAATGTAAAGTACGCGGTATCACCACAAAGTCTTAGTGAGTAAGAGATGTCATGCATGAAAGGGGATTGGTAGCGCTATCCAGCCATGCAGGGAACTGACCCCGGCCCGTGCTGCAGAATGTCTGTGTGTGGCGCGCTCTGAAATTGCCTGCTGCATCCTCTGTGAAGTTGCAAGTTTGCTTGTAACCAGTTGCTGCTAAGATCCCCAGGTGCACTCCAGGCACATCTCGGCCAAAACCCGCGGATTACGAGTCTCCAAGTATATGAACAGGAAGGAAGGGAACTGAACTGGGCCATCGCACTATCTGCACGTTACTATAAGCCCTGTCGGCGATGTTGCTTCTGGGGGCATGGCTTGCTGACGATCAGGCCTTGGATGTTCTCTTTTGGCACCGGGATGTCCTTGCTGCCAACGTGCCAGCGTACTCAACCCTGCAGCAAGTCAACAACCCAAGCCTCCTCCTCGAAGGTATCTGCAGCACCCGGAAAATAATAATCCTTCAGATCAAGCACGCGTGGAATTGAACGTTGAAATTCCCCCTTCTCTGCCGTACAAATACTTGAGAGCCACGGGTTGGGACGAAAGCTCAATAATGGACAGGACTGGTGAGACAGGACGCAAACAGACAGACCATATACGACCAGAAGGGCAGACAGCCCAGCCCTCACTGCCCACTAACCCCCAAAATCACCCCAAATCCCCCTAAGATTAGCCCAAAGACCCCCAACATAAGCTACTTGAACGAAATGGCCGAAGGATAACGAGGACAAGAGATGTTTGGCTGCTAGGATGGCCCGAGGGCATCACTTGTAAACACACGCCCTAGAAGAGCATAATCCCAAGATGCTGGATCCTTACGCATGATGTCGACCACACGAAGATACGAAGGTGAGAAATGAGGACAGCAACAAGGATAGCCGATAGCCGCTCTGACACACTGCGGGTTACCACTCGGCACGACGCCCCACAGGGCACCCACCGGGACTCTGTCTTCCCCAGAAGAAACGCAAACAAGGCCTATCGGCGAACAGCGAGAAGGTTGCCACTCTCATAGTCGTCTGTGAAAGAAACTACTCGTTTCGGCGACACGCTGCACCCACTGAGAAGGTTGCCAGCTGTTGAGGACTGATGGTACCAAAAATCTCCAGCACCAAGAACACGACGCGGCTGAAACGGGGCGGTCCTCTCCGACGTCGTCAGGCTATACAGCACACATGATCAGTTATATACAAACGAGAAGCATTGAACATGGAGCATAAAACCGCAGTCATGGCATGGCGCAGTCATCCAACATTTGCAATTCAGCCCGTGGAATGAGAGGCCCGTCGCAACACTTCAGCATGCTAAATTCTTCTTAGAGAGGACTGAATTTCTGGGAAGTCAGGAGAACAAAAGCCGGGGGCATGCTGATTGACTATAAATCGACTGTTAATTGACTTCATTGAACTTACAATTTCTTCTTGGCTTCGGAGGCTGTTGCCTGGCCACGAGAGAGAACTGAAATGTCTGTATCGGAGATCAAGCGTTGTTCATACAGGAATCCAGTATAAAGAGTGGCCATGTGCTGTGAAGGTGAGGAGGTGAGTCATGCAAGCAGCTGGAAACACAAGATGGAAAGGCACTGATTGCAACTTACCAGTCTGCAGACAGTCTCCAAGTCCCTGTGCCTGATGCTTGCTTGTTTGCGGGACCAGACCGTGCCCCATCGTTGCACCTCGGCAGCACAAAATTCCGAAAATCTTCAGGATGTGACCAGAAGCATCTACTTCAGAGACTCGCAGATGTCAACGAAGATAGGCGGCGATATGCGGCGATATAAGGGCCGATATGACGAAGGATCCGCCACTCGTGACTGCCATTGCTTTTATAGTTGCGCTGCGCACAAGCAACGTGCCAGCGACACGGTGGGTTGCTGATTGTTGGCTGAAGAGACCCTCCCACAAAGATCAGGGTTGCTTAGTAGAAATCTGCGCAGTAATTGTGATGGTGCGTGGCCTTGCCTGTTTGGCTAGAGGCTGCTTAAATGACATGACTCGGCGCACAAAGTCTCTATCATTTTGGGGGCTTGGGTTCCTGCAGGCCTTAAGGCTTCTCACCCTGTTTTGCTATAGTTGTTGCCAATTTTTGGCTTTATCATGTCCAGACTCTGTCAAGAACCATTGCTGTGTGCAGGAGCCCTGCTCCAAATGTCCGCGACGGCACAGTCACTAGCTCAGCCAAACCCTGGTCTGGGAAGATCAATCCACCCCCTTGCTTACAACTGTGCCTCATGCTTCTATTCCATTCTGTGCCCTGCACGGCCTTCTAAACTGAGCCAACGGTATCTAAATGGATGCCCTCTCGAATACAAGGGTGTCGGGAATCTTCTCGAGTACACTGGGATATTGGAGTGGTTCCGCCACCATGATCTTCTAAATCTGGTCCAGCTCGACTAGTTCTCCAGCAAACCATGGAGCTTGTCACAATCATGTCAGATACGCATGCCACAAGACAGTGCAGCATCAGCTCCGGACCAAGTGGGGGCTGTGGTGCGCAATCAGGGAAGCGTGAACCAGCGTTGATGCGCAGCTGGCCACAGCACAGAGTCACAAATGTTCACAAGTTGCCCTTTCTAGCTGGCATTAGCTGGCCCCATCTAGCCCTGAGCCAAGCTTCCAAAGCAATGCTCAGCACTCTCCCACAGTTTTCCAGACCAACAGTTACGTGATTAGCAACGCCAAGGAGGACAGTGTCAATTACCATGAGGACAGTGTCAATTACCATGATAGTCCCCGTCAACTTATTTGTGGATTTATACGCTTTCCTAAGAATTTGTGATGTGTGGCGAGGTGGAATCTTTTGTTCCCTCCCTTGCGTTTTTGCTCAGCTTTTGTCGGGGCTGATTGAAACTACAAATATGTTGACGGGGCTCGGAGGGCACATTTGGTTGCATGCGAGCCAGCCCTCCCCTCTCTCTTGGGTCTTGGGGATGATAAATGAAGACCGATTTGAAGAATTATACAACAAACTATTTAAAAACAAAACACACACACACACAAGGAATTTTGAAGGACTTCTAACATGACATATTTTGGAAGGAATTATAGATGAATGAAGGCCTTTAAAAGACAGAGAGAGAGAGAGAGAGTGAGAGCTACAGAGATTATGATAGCTGTGTGAGGGCTGGGGCAGGGGAGAATTTGGAACGTCGTCGTCGTCGTCGTAGTACTAACGAGTAGTAGTAGTAGTAGTAGTAGTCGTAGTAGTAGTAGTAGTGGTAGTAGTAGTAGTAGTAGTAGTAGTACGCGCGCTTTATGTATTTGACGACCCGTTATTCTGGCTGTCCCGTAGCTGGAGAAGT